TATAACCTGTAATATATAATACCGGAAAAAACAGAAGAAAGTCCTCAACCCTTACCAAACCCATTCACTTGGGTTTCAAGTTGGCCTACGACTAGTTACACCTCTTTATTGGAGTGCCTTTTTGTATTTATTTTGACAAAGCAAAAAAACATTGTAATATACGAATAGAGGTGTAATGTGGGTTGCTCTGGGCTGGCACATGGGCCTAGGTGGGTTATGTCTGTCGCCTGCCCAGGTCAGAATTTCTCAAAATTATAATAAAATTGAAAATGAAAAAAAAAAAAATTGTACTTATCTATCCAAGCCCAACATGACCCAGAGATATGGACCAAAACCGAGCCATGGCTGTCACAACTCGCCATTTCAGGCCCATGCCCACAGCCCACTTTACAACTCTACTTGAAAAAGCAATAATGAAAAATAAACATATATAGTCCTTGCCACATCTTGGATTCCAACATGAAATAGAGACTATAGCCAAGCAGTCAATACAAACGTACGAAGCCCTTTGGGGATTTCTAAAAAAGACACCTGGTCCCAACTCCCAAGCATATTTTTTCCACAACCGAAAGTTGTAACAAAATTTTCAGGGACCGGATCTTCTATTTTTCGATTCTGTTCCTTTCATTTAAGGTCCAACACATGTCCCACTACACCAGCTTTCACCCCAAGCATGTAAAGGTAAAGCCTTGTTATGTTTGGGCTCAGTTTATTTGCAGTGCAAATTAATTTATTTGTTTGTGAAAGAGAATGGGGTAGGAGAGTTATTTGTGAGTAAGATAAGGAGCAAATTGACGTATGTGATCCTTATTTTATATGAAAAAGAGAATTCATATGAGTAGGTGGTGCAAATTTTACATCAAGTAGGAGCGTTTATGAACCGACAGATACAGAATTGAACCTGATGTGAATTGGTTGAATTTGATTTTGAAAAACTAATCAAATTTACTCTGAGATGCAATCTTAATTAGCATCGAACTCGAATTTAACCTGATTGAATTTAAGACTTGTTTGATTAAAGCTCCATTTGGTTGCACCTTAACCCCCATTAAGCAATAAGCAACTTTTTTTTTTTCCTTTCATCTGATTTCCATGAAAACTCACACACTTTGCAACAAATACCCCTTGTATTATGGGGTCAATGAGAAATACCGCCTGAACTTTCATTTGTGACAAAAACCCCTTAAATTTTCACTTTGCAATAAATACCTAGAGTGCAACTTGGGTGGGTCCAATCTAAGCTCAAATTGATTCAGCCCGAATTTTACACGGTTTGAGCTTGGAGTTTTGGTCTTCGGGCTGGATCGGGCCCAAGAACTTGGGCTTTTTTATTTTTTTATGCTGGGTTCGGCCTAGTCCTTAGGCAGCACGAACCTTGTTCGAGCCCAACCCAGCAGTACACACACACACACACACACAAATATATATATATATATATATATATATATATATATATATATACATATTTGGATACATATTTACATATATATACATATATGTATACATATTCACATATATGCATACATACATGTATAATTTTAAAGCATGTTCATTAATTAACCCTAGGCTTGGGATTGAGTCCAACCTGAGTGCATCAAATTACAATGCAGGCTGGTTCAAGTTGGAAAAATCAAGCTTAACCACAGGTTCAGTTTGGACTCAGGCTTTAGGCCCAAATCTTAGGGTTGGGCCTGGATTGACCATAAACCCGACAACCTACCCGACTTGCCCAAATCTCGTAAGGCATGAATTTCATTGGTAGCATCAAAGACTAGCAAGAGAGTAGCATCTCCAAAAGAGAGAGAGAGAGAGCTTGCTATTCGCCGACGCCATTTCTATTGCTTGATATCTACTCGAATTTCAAATAAAACCTAAAGAATGATCAATCACCAAACAACTTTGAGTTTCTGTAGCAGTGAAGACTATTAAAAAAGGAATGAAATAAAACGGAGAATAGTACTACCTTACTAACCATTTCCCATTCTCTCCATTTCTGTGTTGCTCGACACCATTAGAAGCGTGAATCAATCTTCTGAGCTTCCCTTTCTAGTAGCTAATTTACAGCCCTAATCATATTTGTGGATCTGTTAAGTTCCTCCTAATTTAACATGGTGTAAGCAAGGTGTGGTTAAGCTGTATGAGAGTGGTCTCCTTGAAAGCCAAAGGAAGACCGGAGGCAAGAGGTAGGTTGAAGGCTAGGGCAAATGGTAAGGTGATGAGGACGAATGAGTAGGGGAATGATCGAATGATGATTTCGTTATGGGATGGTCTTTCATTTATAAGGAGAGATTCCGAGGTCCTGAAATGAAGGAGTCAAAAGTGTTTGATTTCCATTAGGAAATAAAATATTGGATTTGTCGTCAGTTATCAAGGAGCATTGATAGGGTTTCGCCTTGTGTCTTATGAGATTCTTCAAAGGATTGACTTTCCTTTTGTCCGAAGATTCTCATAATCCATATGTGCTACTTCCTTTTGTAATCCATTTAACAAACGTGGCATTGGTGACGTCATTCATTAGTGGGCGCACTTTTATTAGACCTACGTGGCGCCTTATCATGCACATTACTTAAAGGCACACGTGTAACTAATATTCATTCCTGGCCTATGGTGACCCTAAAGTTCTGTAATGGTCTCGAGTTCATTGCAAGACTATGCACACTTGAAGTTCATCATAGAACTATGCATATTCGAGGTTTATTGTAGAACTGCACGCGTCTAAAGTTCATTGCAATTCGTCTTAAGTACGAGTTTGTCTCAATTTGGTATCCTCTGTATTTTGATGGTTTAAGCGATCACTATGTACCTACACATGAAAATAACTTATTAGAGAGACTTATTGTGGACAGAGAACTGGGGATTTATTTACTTAGCCATTTTACGAGGTGTCGGTGGATGATGGATAAGAGACCAGATCTAGCTTTTCTATGAATGCTAGGACTTCTTTGGGAGGATCAGTGCCATCTTCAAATCTCTCTCTCTCTCTCTCTCTTCTCCCCATGGTGAACTAGAAAAAGAAAAAAAAAAAACAAAGGAGTTGTTCTTTCTCTGCAAGTAAATGAGGTATCTGCCCAGATCTAGCTTTTCCATGAACGCTAGGACTTCTTTGGGAGGATCAGTGTCATCTTCAACTCTCTCTCTCTCCATGGTGAACTAGATAAAAAAAACAGAGGATTTGTTGTTCTTTCTCTGCAAGTAAATGATGTAAGCTGCCTAGATCTAGCCTTTGCATGAAGGCTAGGACTTCTCTAGGAGGATCAGTGTCATCTTCAACTCTCTCTCTCTCTCTCCCCACGGTGAACTAAATAAAACAGAGGAGTTGTTACTGTTTTATGCCATGTACTGCGGGAAGCAACTAGATGGCTAATTCAACAAAGGTGCTGTTGTTTTTTCTGGTGCACGCCAAAGACATATTCTACTCTTTCGAAGATCTAATAATTTCCTCTGATGGAAGCATAGTGGAGAGCTTCGATTCTAATGGAACTGTGCTCTAGGTCCTCCGATGGAAGCATAGTGGAGAGCTTCGATTCTAATGGAACCGTGCTCTAGGTCTAGGTCATGTGGAAGAGTTTCGATTACCCCACCGATATGCTCCTACCCGGGATGGAGCTGGGTTTCAACTCTAATACCAACCATAACTGGGCTTTAGGCACATTCTCTCTGGGCGGGGATCCCACTGTTAAATAAGTCATTTAAGGGCAAAATAGATATTTTACCGTTTTTGTTAATATGGTAATTGTAAAAAACAGTAAGGATAGTGTTAGAAATACACTAGTCAATTAAACCATAAGAATAATTTAGGAAATTTATTCAAATTTAAGTAGCTCAATGAGAATCTTTTTTCAAAGTTAGTTAATGGAATTTAAGGGGCTATTTGTTATAAAGTGAAAATACAGAAGTCTTTGGCACAAATAAAAGGAATCTGGATCTGCTCATCACTAAGCGTGTCTCATTCCAACCTTACAACATGTCTTAACCGCACATCAGGAACATTTTTCGCACTTATATTTATTATTTATGGAAGATATTCCCAAAATAGGATGTGATGTCACTGTGAGGAGCATATCCCAATTCATATAAAAATGGATAGGGGTATTTGTTATTGACCCCATATTATAGAGTCTTTGTAATTTACCATTGTTTTAATTTTTAAGGCCTTGTTTTAAACTTTTAATCACTTGATATGATTTTTTCCATTTTGGAATATGGGCTTACATGGTTATGTTTGGAACGGGATTTGCTCCTTACATTTGGGCGCTTCACATGTACATCCACCATGCATTGGGAATATCTCATATGAATAATAACTTATATTAACGGGAGATGTTCCCAATGCATGGTAGGATGTGCGTGTAAAGCGCCCTATGTGAAGAGCAGATCCGATCTGTGAGACTCATGGTTGGGCATCTTCGCCAATCCTTACATAAGTCTCCGTCTCCCATACAATTGAAAAGTATTCGCTTTTATGATAAAACTGGTTACGTGGTTTCTATATCGATCATGGAGGGGAGCATCTCCTCCATTAAAAGGAGCGAAAGTAAACTCCAGTAATTGATGTCTTGTCCTTTCTCACACGTGTATGCTCTCTTCTTCTCGGCCAACTTCACTCGAGTTTCGTTAACCACTTTTCCAGTTTCCACCCTCGCGGAGGACGGAGGTTGCTAAGCAAACCGACAAACTGTAAATAAAGTAGGTAGGAAGCGGGGCCCTCTCGGGGGCCACCTCGTCAACATCACAATGTCCAAACTTTGCCACGTGTTAACTCAGCGTAACTCCTACAAATATCTTCTTGTCATTGCCTTATGGGATGCCTCGCCAAAGGTAAAATTGGTTTCTAGTGAGAGCGACTGAACCGAAAAAACCGATCACTACCGGTCACAACGTTATCGACTTTACGACTTATCGTTACCTCAGCTGTGTCTGTGTGGCAGCTATCACCGTGGTGTCCGGTTAGACCGGTATCCTATATAAATCCCATTCTGGTGTTGGTCGTACCCAAATTCGCGCTCTCTCGCTCGCTCTCTCTTTATTTCTTATCGCTTGCTTTACTCGTCCTTTCCTCAGCTTTCTTCGGGACAGGCTACAGGGATTGCCGTTCTCTTCCCAGTTCCCTCTGTCGAAGGTATGTCTATCTCGTCTTCGTTCTGTGTTTTCTTTTATTGATTTTGATAACTCTTTCAGAATTTCTTAGAAGAATTTTTTATCCTCCAGCTGTTTATGCTTTTTTGCTTCGGTTATTTTTTTCCATCGTTTATGTATTTCCTTTCCAAATTTCGTTTTTTTCTTTAGCGATATCATTACGTTTGCTGCGAATTTTCAATTGTTGCAATGGTTGAACTGTTTGTAAAATTTTGTTCTACAATGCGGGAAAAGATTTCACAAAGAAATTTATCAATTTTGTCTCTGTTCATCTTTTTCTTTTATTATTTTTCTTCCATTTTCTTCTCTTCTGCAGTTCTATCGATTCCATTCTGTTGTGAATCAAATGTTTTGTTGTTTTCTAGTTCTCTGTTGATATGAACCGATTATAATTACGAAAATTTTCTAGGCGCTTCAATGATTTTTGTTTCCGATCGATTTCGGTGATATTTTCCTCATCCCTGTTCTTTCCTGATTTTGTGAACTTACTTCAGCTATCGAATTTCTTTGTTGCTGGTTCTTACGTAACTACGGTACTGGATTATATTTCGTTAGTTTGTCCTTAACAAGTACTACAACACTTTGTCTGCCGTGATCATGTGGTTTGATAAAATTTGTATATTATATTTTGGGCCAGAGCATATAAGCTTGTTTGTCGTGCGGACTGTTCTGCTTTTCATTTCTGCTACTTTGTTATTTCAGGGATCATTCTACTAATGATGAAGGCCGCCAAAGGGAAAGGGTCAGTGAAAAGGGACACAAAGGAAACATTGAAGCCTGTTGATGACAGGTCTATACATTTATGCTTCTTATAAACGAATGTTCTTTGGTTTTTGCTCGTTTTTATAGAGTAGAATGACTATGTTAATTCTATTCAAATTTTAGATTTTTATTGTTCCACTTGGTAGTGGTATTTTGCTGGTTTTTGTAGAGAGTAAGATGACTGAATTCTATTCAAAATTTTAGAGTTTTATTGTTATTAGTGTTCCACTTGGTAGTGGTATTAGGCGAACAGATAATTGGCAGTCGGGGGCTCTCTTGTTTTAACTGTTTTGTTTATTCCTTACAGAAAAGTTGGGAAGCGAAAAGGCACTTCTAAGCCAGATAAAAGTAGCAAAAGAAAGGCCAAGAAGGAAAGATTAGCCAAGAAAGACCCTGACAAACCAAAGAGGCCTCCTAGTGCCTTTTTTGTTTTCCTGTAAGTATTTGTGATTTTGTTGATCATAAATACTCATGTTGCATTCCTTTTAATGTCTGTCTTGATTCTTCTCATGTTACACAGTGAAGAGTTCAGAAAGACTTATAAACAAGAAAATCCCAATGTGAAGGCCGTCTCAGCTGTAAGCAGTTATCACACACAAAGTGTTTCTTTTCCTCTCAGTTTTTGGTTCCATATACAATTCATTTCTTTTTGTGGATTAAGTTGTTAATTTGTTTATCTAATGCTGTTAACAAAGGTTGGGAAAGCTGGAGGCGAGAAATGGAAATCCATGTCTGATGCTGTAAGTATCCAAACTTAGCTGAAAGTACATAGGACAGGTTGGAATATAAAACACAATGAAATATCACAAGCCTTTAAAGCATTGGCTAATCTTGACCTAAGAAATTCAATGAATTCTGTTTGCAAAGGTGCTGCAAAATTTAGTGGTGTGGACTCCATCTTGTTTTTGGCTATGCACTAACACAAGTCCCTGTTGAAGTGCTTGTTCGGTGATTTCTGATCTTTTAGATAATTTGGCGAAGCCAATGGCAACCTGGTGTAATCTTCTCAGGCAACCAAATGAGCATTGTATGTAGGGGGCCAAGGCTCAAAGCTTACCGGTTGGAGTTAGAGATAGCCTAGAGCTTTGGAAAATTTGACAATTTGGAAACTAATGCAGTTGGTATAGCCATGATAATTAATTACACCAGTCATAATTTCATTTTTTGCTGTGGATGAGTTCAACATTTCTATCTATGACTTGATCAATTGTTTTCATTTATGATGTGTTGCTAACCCAAGTACTTTGTTGACTGGCTTTGGCAGGAGAAAGCTCCATATGAAGCAAAAGCTGCAAAAAAGAAGTCTGAGTATGAAAAGCTTATGAATGCCTATAACAAGAAACAGGTGAAAGCATGTGGCCATATGCCAGCCTTTGCTCTAATCAAATATATTGCCCGGTTACCTTAGTCTGCTAACTCCTGTTTTGATCTCAGGAAAGTGCAGCTGATGATGGTGATGAGGAGTCTGATAGGTCAAGATCTGAAATCAATGATGAGGATGAGGAAAGTGGAGAGGTAGGTCTCCTAAGTTGCCCCTTAGTATAGATATCATATTTCTTAATGTTTCATTGCATGCTATCATTCACAAACCTTAATATGGATGGGTGTTGCATCTATCAGAAAGGATAAATGGTTCTCTTGGAAGCATAAATGGAAATTACATTATAGTAGTTGGTAATCTAACATTTTGCACAGTGTCAAAGGATGAGGATGAAGTTGTTGCTGCAACTAGGGGTGTCAATGGACTGCTTTTGGGTTGGATCCCATCCAAATCAAAATCAATTTGGATGGATCGGAGGGACCAATAAGACATTGACTTGGATCAGTCCAGACCCAATGGTCCAAAGTATTTATTGGATTGGACTGCAACCTGGTCAATCTGTAATGGATTGGGTCGGATTGAGTCAATATCTGGTCCATTGATAGAAGATAAGAATACAGGTGTCAATGGACCAGGTTTGGGTTGGAACCAATTGAAATTAAAACCAATTTGAACAGATTGGATGGTCCAGACATTGAATTGGACTGGTCCAAATGGTCCAAAGTATTCATTGAATTGGATTGGACCTGGTCCATTTGTAATCGATTCACATTGGACTGGATCAGATTGGACGGAATCTAGTCCGGTTGACACCCCTAGCTGCAACTTGCACATCCCACCATAGTGTTATAGTGCATCGTGGGCCCTATGGTGCAGATCCCACCTGGATGGTGGGATGTTTGTGTTCTAGCAATGTCTGGGAGCTTGCACTGGACCTTATTTGGAAAAATGAATTTATCGGGTGATTTTACTCTCTGTATGATATGATCCCCATGTTCATGGATGGGAAATATGCATTATATTGATATTTTATGCTAGGGTGAGTAGGTAATTCTTAATTATAATGTTTTGAATAAGTTGTTGCATCAAGATATGAGATTCTTCTACATGGACGCATCATCAATAGGTTGTTCTCATTATATATGTCTCTTTTGTGACCTACTCATTTTGGTATCTCCTCCATGCTTAATAAGAACTACTAATTTATGGTTTGGTCATCTACAGGAGGAAGAGGAAGATGAGGATGATGACGAATGAGAACCTGATGTGATTTTCTGACTTGGTCAATTTGGTTGTTCCAGGCTATCATGTCTGGATCTTGTATAATCATACCTGTAATATAGCATGCCAAAAGCAAACAACATTAGCCTGATAGCGTGTAATTTTTGTTCCTTTGGCTTAGTTTGGGACTGTATTTGTATTTGCACTCTTCCCAAAAATGCATATCTTACAGATAAGACATTCAACCCATTACCGTATTCCTGCTAGCATTACTTAAATTCAAGAGGAACCGAAACAGAAACTGATTGAAATCTCTTCAATCTCCTCTCAGAATTAATTAGAGAAGTAACTATAATGTTGATCATCATGAACAAAGCCAAAGTTGCTGGTGTCAAGATGGACGTAGAGGGCTTCTTATTAAACGGCTTATGTTAGCAGTTACCTTACAACTTCCAGTGCTCTGAAAACCTTTATACATCTGAGGGAGCATCTGCTTCTCCAAAAAGCAGACCTTGAGCTTTGCAACTTTTCTGTGGGTTTGCTTTCTCTGATATTCATTATGTTTTGCATGTTATGGACTTGTGGGTGCCACGAATTTGATGATGATGTGATTCCTTTTGTTCGACATACTGATTTATTTATTTTCATGACTACAAGCTTTTTTGAGATACCCCAATGCTGGGAAGTTGATATCATATGAAAATAAGTCAATTTATGAGATCTTTTTTATATCTCCATGGTTTTACTCTTCATAAGCCAGGCCGGGGAAGACTCGTATTTGTGCTTGTTTCCCTGTCTGTATTTTGCTTTGCTGGCTACTTTCGAAGAATGTATCCAGGTACCATGGATAGCTGAGAATTACTCTGCTTGTATCGGTGTCAATTGTCAAAAGTCAAAACGTATATATTTAAGCAGGTTCATCATTCGTGGATTTTTCTCTTTGCAGCAATTATTTGGTAGGCAGCAATTATTCGGGAAGCCAAACACCATTAATGGAAAATCATTTAAGAATAAATGAATCTTTTGGGCACAAGAGTCCCATTTAGATACTTTAATATAAATATTAACTTTTTTATTGGGAAATACTTAATGAATAAATGAACCTTTCCTACTCCCACGGGTGACTAAATCCTAGCAGAAATGGACTGTATATTAGAATCGAGCTCGTTGTTCTATTATTCTCGGTCCTTTTTATCTAAAATTCACCATTTCTTTTAAACTCATTGTAACTTTTGAAAACCTGGGAGCCCCCTACATTCAATTCCTATTACTAAAGCTTGGAGCTCTAAACCCTTCCACTCCTAATAGAGTCATATTTCCCTCTCTTAAACTAGTAGATCTCTTAAACAAGTAGTATATCGGGAGCTTAGCTGATTCCTATATTTCAAAACTTGCATTTATAATTCCCTCCTATATCTCAAAAACTTGAATTTATAATTCCCAAAGTTTGGTGCTAATTGCCTAATTATTTGGTTTTCGGGGAAAAAAATTAAATAGATCTATGACTAACCTGCCTTGCAGTACATTATATCTCAAAACTTGCATTTATAATTCCCTCCTATGGCTCAGTTTGGAAGAGTGCAAATACAAATATGTACAGTACAAAGCCTTCTATTTTGTATTTCTAAACTCTGTACATATTTGTATTTGTACTGCTTCCAAACTGAGCCTATATCTCAAAACTTGCATTTGTAATTCCCAAAGTTTGGTGCTAATTGCCTAATTCTTTGATTTTCGGGGGAAAAAACCTAAATAAATCTACCTGCCTTGCAGTACTTGCAGTACATCCATGTGACTCAGAATTTACATGTGTTCCACATGGTGATGAAGCAAAAGATCATCACCAGCTAAGTTGAGTGATCTAGCATTTTGGACCATTAATCAATTGAATATCACAAGAACTGGTTCGGCAAATAGTTTTTTTAAGCATAATTTATAACATTGAAAACAATTGTTGATCTTAATTGATTCTAGCATTGAGAACCTGTGGTTCGGTTGTCGGGATGAGGAAGACGATTAACATTAGGCCTGTCAATGAGTCACGGTTTTGGTTCTATGAATCATTCCGATGGATTGGTTCCAGTTTTAATTTCTGTCTCTCGATTGTTGTCAGTTTGGGACCAGTTTTGGCTGTTCCAAACCGACTAGACCTGAACCGATTATATATATCTATTATATTTTACATATTTTGTTATTTTACATGTAATATAAGTAATTTGTATATCTAACATTGTAATTTTAGGCAGGTTTAAAACCTAAAACCCTTTCCATCTTCCGGTTAATAGTTTATTGAATAAAATATTTTTTTTTTATCAAAAAATACAGGTCTTTAGTATTAATATGGTTTTTTGTTTAATCGGGTCTAATTGGGTTAGACCCGATTGTCCCGATTACTAAATGGTTCAGTACCGGTTTTGAAATAATAGAACTGATTTTATCTAATTTGGCACTGGTACTATCGGTTTTAATAATCGGTTCGGAACGGTTTTACCTTGTACCAAACCAGACTAAGACCATTGACAATCCTAATTAACATTGCTTCTCCCAGCATTAGAGAGCTCTAATAGGGATATTTGGAGGAGTACTATGGAAAATTTGATAAAACCATTTATCTTTTAATGGTAGATCATTCATAGGAGATTCTTCGGAGGTTTTGAAAGTCATAATGAACTTAAGAGAAACACAAAAAAGTCATGGTGAGCTTTAGATAGTATCCCCTCAAACAAATATGAAGAATCTTAGTCAAGTTCACACTTTTCAACACTAAACCTTACTTGAATTTTAACCCAACCCAACTCAATCTATCTTTTTTCGGATCCAGATTACACTTAACCCGACCTAGTTATAATTGGGAAACAAAATTAGAACCAGAACCAGTTTATTTCTATCGGGTAGACCCTACCCATTCCAAGTTTATCCCATTGCTCCAAGAAAAAACTAAGGACCTGTTTTATTATCGAGAATAGGGGTCTGGAATCGGATTAGGAATGGGTCATTCTGATTTCAACTGTTTGGTTGAGCAGAATTGGAATCCCATTCCCATTCTTGATAGAATGACATTCTTCCTTTGAGGGAATGGCCATTCCCTCCCCTTCCCTCGGGAATAAAACCCCATTCCAGCTTATTCCAATTCTTATTCTGATTCCTGTTTGAACCCAACAAATTATAGGAATAGATCACTCTCATTTTGATTCCGATTCTGATTCTAATTCTGACTATGAACCAAACAGACCTTAAATTAGTTAGGGTAAACTGGGCTACCAGCCTTGTAACTTGCTCTAACTTGGATCATAAATGTGTGCAGGCATATAATGTGGAAAAATTGCATTTGTCTTTTAAAGCAAACATAAACCAAAGAATGCGATTCCGTACTATGAAATAAGGGTGTCAATGGACTGGTTTTGGATTGGACCCCGTCCAGTCCAAAATCAATTTGGATGGGTTGGACGGACCAACAAGACATATTAGATTGGACCAATCCGGTCCAAAATATTTATTAGATTGGATTGGACCTGATCCATCCGTAACAAATTTATATTGGATTGGGTTGGATTAAGCCAATATCGGGTCCATTGATATAAGATAAGAATATATGTGTTAATGGACTGGGTATGGGTTGAAACCAATCTAAATCAAAATGAATTTGAACAAATTGAACGGTCTAGACATTGAATTGGAGTGGTCCAAATTGGTCCAAAACATTCAACGGATTGGATTGGACCTGGTCCATGTATAATGGACTCACATTGGACTGGATCCAATGGACCGGGTTTGGATTGAAACCAATCTAAATCAAAATGAATTTGAACAGATTGGATGGTCCAGCCATTGAATTGGACCGGTCCAAGTTGCTCCAAAACATTCATTGGATTGGATTGGATTGGACCTGGTCCATGTATAATGAACTCACATTGGACTAAATCCAGTCCAATTGACACCCCTACTATGAATCAAATTCCAATGATAAATTACAGTACCAAATGGCGATGACTACAAATGCAAAACACTTTTGAAAGAAAGAAAAAAAAATCCCTACCCAACAAAACAAAAAGGAAAAACAGAAAAAAATCCTAGACCATTAAAAATCAAAACCAAATTTTATGAAAAATCACTCTATGGGAGAGCCTCCAAAAACCTTAAAATAGTAATATAAGATGATTGAGAAAATGCCACTTTGACGTTTCTCCAATAAGGTTTTGTTTTTGAGAAAGCCAATTGTCTAGGTAAATGCACTTATTTGGGCAAATGCTTTTTGAAAAACACTTACCTGAATAAATGTATTTACCAGTGTTCTTTCATTTATTAGATAATCTTAAGCAATGACTGTTTTATCTATAAAAGTGTTATTATTGAAACGATAATGTTGTTATTTACCCAAGTAACTAATACTTATCCAAATAAATGCAATCATTCTTTTTGATAGTACCCACTAATACCAAAAAGTGATTACAATTGAATTAGTTAACTCTCACACTTCCACTCCTAAATATTTTTACAAAACCACCAGATACAGCCATTATCCTAAGAAACCGTTCAAGGTTCAACCAAACAAAAAATGAGGCATCATTGCAAGAAACACTTACTTGGTTCTGATGAGTTAATACCATTTTCCTGATAAACGGTAATGTTACAAAAAATGAGGCTTCATTACAAGAAACACTAGGTGATGTTTGGCATCAATGATGATTTCTTGAAAATCACTGCCATGTCAGCGTTAGAGAAATAGGTATAGAAATTTCTGTTTGGTTGGCTGATTTTGGTGATTTCTAGGAAATCGGCCAAAAATCGATTCTTGAAAGCAGTTCTTTTCAAGGATTACCTTTTCTGGCGATTTCCTGATTTCTAGCTGATTCCGATTTTCTGAGGATGCCATGGCATTGAATAATAACTCTAATACATAACTAATGGGCCCTTGAAAATCAGTACCAAACAGACTCAAAAGCTAATTTCTCAAAAATCGACTTATATGACAGAAATGATACCAAATAACAAAATTTTCTGAATTTTGAATAATCACGGATTTTTGAAAAATAAGGAGAGATCAGCTGATTTTTGTAAAATAAGAAAGATTCAGCATCGATGCCAAACATGACCTAATTGCAAGAACCCTCAACGATGAAACCCAATAATGTTGGACCCCAATGCTACAGATAACATACAGGTGGAAAATTTTAATTGGTTTATCGATCTACTGCCCTGATTCAACATTTCACTATTCAATAGACCGTCCCTTTTCAATAAACGAACACACTATTCATACCAGAGTATGTAACTATTGTATGATGTAAATGACTCTCTCCTTTTCAGGGAGCTCAATTTGCATCTCAGATCAGTAATGGTCATATTCATATTGTCATCTGTTCTGACTACCGGAACGTCCTGGACGGCTTTTGCTAATAATAATAATACTTGTGCACACTTTGTAGCTCAAGCTTCAAAGAGTCATGCTGATGATTTTCTTTCTTTTGATCACTATCCAGCTTGGCTGCTTGGCTACCAAATGTTAAGGACTATGTAAATGCTCCATTCGTTTAATTTAATCCTTCTGGTTATCAAAAGAAAATGACTCTCTCCTTCTTTATCTGGGCTGGGGTCGCACGGCCCAATGTTAGCCCACCTGTCCTT